TGGGACTGGCACTGGGACTGCCTCTGGGTGCCTGGCTTCCTGGATCCCAAGTTCAGAGAGTTCCATCACCAAGGAAGTGTGGTGAGGTCACTTCCTTCAGGAACTGAATGAGGTAGGTCACTGCCTTGGAAACCACTTTGTCCTAACTGTTGCTTCCAAGGGTCCCATGAGATGGAGGATTCCCCTGATTTTTGTGACACTTTCACAAGTTAGAATGGTATATCAACTATAGGCACCCAGGAAAAGCTCTCCACACAGGCCTGGTTTGGTAGATCTTGTCTACATTAAGAGGAGAGAGGCTCATTCAGACACATCCCTTCATCCTGACCAAATTGTTTGCCACGGAAGATGACATTTGCTCTCTCAGGTCCTTCCTAGCTGCCTATATCTTCTTCGGGGATCATTTCTCCTTGGACCTTTGAGGTTCTCAGCATGTGGAAGATCCCCTACATTCCTGTATGGTAAGACCAACTCTGTCCCTGCTCTTGTGTAATGTTAGATTGAGAGAACAGTGTATGCTTGGGGTTAAGAACATGTTCGATTTGGTTTAGGAATCATTCTGCTGGATGAAGAATGGTATTGGAAACCTGTGATATTTATAATAATATAGAGGTTAAATATATGTATGAAAACAAAAATCTAAGTACGATGTGAAGGCCAGCAGGGAATTGGGCCCTTGATTGGGATACTTAGCTTTGTATTACATTCTGTAGAGATGTCTCTGATAAATCCATATACAATGGCACAGAACCTTGTACCTTGGATGATTCAATGTAGAAGAGCATCCAGTCAAAAAGGGATACTAGGTAGAATTAGGAAGATAGTAGGTTTAGGAAGAAGAGTGAGTATGAAATTTGAACCAAAAGTTCTTTAGCAATAGGGTATCTGTTAGAGAGTGAATGAAAATGTCAGCACATGTGAAGAGTCATTCACAATGATGAACTGGGGAAAATATGTAGGAAAGCAGATATGAATATAGACATTAGGAAATCAGGCAAAGTATAAAGTGAGTGATAGGATTAGACATTTTCCACATGGTTGAGGTTTAATATATAATCTTAGGCAGAAACAAATGTATAGTCACAAATAGGATTGACATTTGAGAGCATTAGGCAACCTGGACAAGGATGTTTTGAGTAATCCATGCTCACTTTCCAATTAGGCTTTGGTACAATCATAAGTGTGACCTTTGCATTTTGTGTCCAGAATATCACTGTGATAAAATGTATATGTAGATCAGGTGATATGAGTTTTTCTTCCACCATTTTTGGGAGCAATATGTTGAAGACGTATAAATTAGCATTTGAGGGTACAAATAGGTGTACCCTGGGTCTATGAGTATAGAGATAATGCATGAATAGACCATACTGTGAATGAAGAATATAAATGGTTCCAATTTAAATAATTGTTTTAATTGATATCTGAAAATATATAGGAAATCTTATACAGGATCATTCATTCCAACCAGGTATATATTTAATGGTAATATAGAGGTTATGGTTTAACCTGAATGGTGTGTGAGTTATGCTTCAAAAGTGATTATAGAAATCCAAAATAATGTGTTTAGAAAGAAGTCTCATGAAAACACCAGTGAATAAAAATGGAAGAATACATGTGTTCTGAAGCCGGATTTGGTTGAAAGTGAACCAAATGCCTAGAAATTTGTGAACTTGAGGATTAAATATATATCTTATGATGTGCATCAACAAAAGAAATAGTAACGTAGCAGTGTTGAATAAAAATGAATGTCAAAATACACATCATGTTCCACAGGAGTCTACTTGCATTGATATTAAACAATGTCAGTTACTGTAGAAATGTTAGGATCTATGCACCATT